AATGAGTGAATGAATGAATTAGCTATAACTGAGTCCTGTGTGCTGGATGTAAAATTTGCTCATTAGTGGTGATCTTGTATTTCTGGTCACCAGTTACTTGACTCTTTTCAGGAGCAAGTATAATGTATTACTTAGTGATATCACATGAAAAACTTTCATAAGCATCTTCATAAATCTTGAGAGTTGGATTGATGGGAAATATGGGCAATATGGCTTTTAGAAGCCATATTGCCTTAATATATGAAGAAGAAAGTTTATTTGAGCAATTCTATTGCTACTTAAGAAACATATCATACTGTAGTCTAAAGCAATATGTGTTCATATGCCAGTTGGAGTACTATAGCACAAATGATTACTAGAGTGAGAATCATTCATCAACACATTGATATCTTTTAAAAGTAACCTGAATAAGTATCTGTTAAATAAGACTAATAAATTTTCCACATATTGAACAAAAATAACTCTTAAATATAACAATCTGCCTCAGATGTCTTCACATGTCTGGTTTAAATGTCAAGATTGAATGTCAGTCATTGCCCTTGGGGGAGGCCTAGCACTACTTCCAAAGCTTACAAATTCATACTTGGTTCCTAGACCCCTATGCTGTGGCCTTAGTTCAGACTCTTGTATCTTTTTTTCTAGATTATTGTAACTGTCTTCTAATTAGCTTCTAACCTAGCCTTCAGCTGCTATGGCCAGAGGTAAGTTTCTAAGTATCAAATATGATCATGTTAGCTCCTGTCCTAACACTCTTTATTGGCTCCTCCTCACCTTATAAAACAGAGGTCAACATTGCCTTCAAATCTGATCTCAACCTGCTTCTTCAGGCTTATTTTCTAGAACATCCCAACATGCACCTTGCACACCAACTGCCGGCACCCTCCGATGGCTCTCTGAACCTGCCTGCATGCCTTGCTGGATATTTCCTTTTCCTTGACCTTACTTCCTCCCTTCTCTGCCTAGCAGCATTCCTTCTCCACTAACCCAGCTCAAATGTCGCCTTGAGAATGCTTCTCTTAATCTGACCTACCGGTGATGCTTCCCATAGCACTTTAGAAGTATTTCTTTTATTGCGTTTATCATACTTCACTGGCGTTTGCTTAATTGTCTGTTTTTACTGTGATCCCAGCATCTTGGACTACAACTAATTTTGTTTGTTTTTTTTCCAATCGCATCCTGAGCAGCCTCAGTAAAAGATGAATTGTCTTTTTTTCTGTAAATTAGTATCATTTGATCC